CATATGTCAGAGGAGCACAGGAAGCAACTGAAAGAGCTCCCAAAGCTAGCATAATCTGAGCAACAAAGTCAAGTCTGCCATACAGAACTCCAAAGGATTTTTGTACATATTTTATTCTAAAGGAAGGGGAGCATAACCCCCGAGTGTATAACTGTGGATATGAATTCCTTCTGAAAAGTACAATTTGAAAAGGAAAGGAAGAAAAGAGTAACTTTACAGTAGAGCAACTTGACATGACTTCTGTCGCTTAATCAAGGTCAACATCAATAATCCTAAATCATGTGGAAAGCGTACACCTCTGATACGATCTGATAAAATCACTCTGTGCCTCTGTGACCTTCCTCTCAAAAACCCATAAGCCCAGTCTAACCATGAGAAAAACATCAGACTGAACTGGAAGGTTGGACAGAGCTTCCACAGTGTTCTTTTTCATAGTTGGGATGACTTTACATTTGGAAACCAGATCTGAAGTATTAGTAAGGATCGAAATGCTTGCAAATTAAGAATAATTAAAATAATTTTATGTTATCTAATTGGTTTATCTAGTATTCTGAACCTAAAAAATACAGTCATCTATAGATGGTAATATATTATGATACCTCTATGATCATAATATCTGGTTAATATCCATTTCCCAGGCCCCGGGTGTGGTGGCTCATGCCTGTAATCCCAGCACTTTGGGAGGCTGAGGCAGATGGATCACTTGAGATCAGAAGTTTGAGACCAGTCTGCCAACATGGTGAAACCCCATCTCTACTAAAAATTCAAAATTAGCCAGGCATAGCAGCACACACCTGTAATCCAGCTACTCAGGAGGCTGAGGCAGGAGAATCACTTCAACTTAGGAGGCAGAGGTTGTTAGCCGAGACCACACCACTGCACTCCAGTGTGGGCAACAGAGTGAGACTATGTCTCTAAATAAATAAATAAATAAATAAATAAATAAAGTTCTCATACATCAGCAATAGGTTTATTATATTTATATGTAAATATATACATTTATATTTATTGTATTTACACGACTTAAGGTTTTGATGACCTGATGCTCTAGGGCCATGATTCTCAATGGGGAATGAATAAAATTTAACCAAAACTTTTTGGCTGAGGAGAAAATACAAAGAATGATGGCAGGTAACTAGGTTAACCTGTGGATGGCAAAATGTGACTACAAAAGAAAAGAACATTTAGAAAGCCTTGGGGAGGGAGGAGGATCGAAAAATAAAATTTAATTTAAAAAGGGAGGCAATAAAGTATGTAAAATAACTCCAAGAGATCTTTCTTCACAATGACCATTTCTGTAACTGTACAAAATTCCCTATGCCACTGCCAAACAATCTCACTAGCACTCAGCATTCAAAATACTAGAGCAAGATGAACTAAATTCAAAGACCCTTTTGACACAGAGTCCATCCATTTATTTCAGAGATCCCACTCAAGCAAGTGAGGCAGTAGAGAAGAATAAAGAAGCAATTTAGTGTAGTGTTTAGTAAGAGTACATGTTTGATAGTTAATATGCCTGGGTTGACTTGCAGCTTTGCCTTTTACTACCCATGCAACATCAGGAAAGTTTTATTTATTTATTTATTTATTTATTTTGAGGCATAATCTTGCTCTGTGGCCCAGACTAGAGTGCAGTAGTGCAATCAAAGCTCACTGCAGCCTAAACTTACTGGGCTCAAGCGATCTTCCCACCTCAGCCTCCTGAGTGCTGGCACTACAGATGTATGCCCCCACGCCCAGCTAGTTTTTGTTTTGTTTTTTGTTTTGTTTTTTTTGTTTTTGATTTTTGGAGAGACAGGGTCTTGCTATATTGCCCCGGCTGGCCTCAAGCTCCTGGGCCCAAGTGATCCTCCTGCCTTGGCCTCCCAAATTGCTGGGATTACAGACATGAGCCACTGCAGGTGGCCAAGCAAGCTTCTTAAACCCTCTGTTCCTTAGTTTCTTCACCTGTAAAATGGTTCCAACTTTAGAGGGATGCTGTGAGGATGAAATGGATACTCTAGGTAAAATTCTTAGTATAGTACCTGATACATAGTCATGTTTGCTATCATTATTATTATTACACATTTCAAAAATCCTTCACTATCAAACTATTTGGTCTTTGTTATGTACACAATTCATAAAAGGCAAATATGTGGCCCATCAACCTTTCAGAGTTCCATAGTAGCTCAAATCAGATGACAAAGATAGGGTTGGACACAGAGCCCATAACGCAAAAAAGCCTGTACCCCAAAAGTTCACCTTTTACTCAGTGGAACACATTTCCTTAAGTGCACAACTGAAACAAGCAGTGGCTGTTATTCCCACTGCAGATGAAAGGTGTGAGGAGGCGGGTCTGCGCATCTCACCGTGACCAGTACCACTGCTCTGCTGGGGAAGGCATCGTGGTACCTGGGAAGAAAAGAACACCATGACCCTGGGAAAGAGATATCTTCCCCTGCCACTGCAGCAGCTTGAAAACACATCTTATTCTCAAGGACTTCAAGAACCTAGTCCGCACTGTACAAAGAACATCATAGCACGTGCTGTATCAACATTAAGAAACACCGCAACCCATAATACACCTAAAGATTATAAATAAAAAGTAGGGATTTGTTTCTATTGCAAACTCTGACTATGCTTTGGATAACGACCTCTCAAAAGCACGACACTTTCTAATTGACACTGTCAGGGACCAGGAAGTGGCCCTCAAAATACGCCTCTTTAGCTAAGGGTTTTTTTTTTAGCTAAGGGCAATTAAGCAGCAGCAGATGCAGGAAAGCTCTCAGCCCTCCCTCTGTTTGCCTAAAATCAGGACATACAATAGATTTACAAAGACAAAAGGTATCCCGCCCACCTCTCTACCAGGGAAAACAAAGGTTAACCACTGAAGACAACTTTAGACCCTTATCAGTCTAGAGATGGCACAACAGAATCCACATTAACGAGCTTTAGTAACTATCTATTGGTTATTCACCTTCCCACAAGTTGTCACCCTGAGAGATTCAGAGTTCATTTCCTTTGTCTTGTCACTTCTCTAAAATTTTACTCTTCTTTGTTGAGGATGCTACCTTATCTGGGAGAGTGAGGAGAATGAGAGAACGGGGAAGAGGAGAGAGGGGAGTGAGGAGAATGAGAGAGAACGGGGAAGAGGAGAGAGGGGAGTGAGGAGAATGAGAGAGAACGGGGAAGAGGAGAGAGGGGAGTGAGGAGAATGAGAGAACGGGGAAGAGGAGAGAGGGGAGTGAGGAGAATGAGAGAGAACGGGGAAGAGGAGAGAGGGGAGGGAGTGAGGAGAATGAGAGAACGGGGAAGAGGAGAGAGGGGAGGGAGTGAGGAGAGTGAGAGAGAACGGGGAAGAGGAGAGAGGGGAGGGAGTGAGGAGAGTGAGAGAGAACGGGGAAGAGGAGAGAGGGGAGTGAGGAGAATGAGAGAGAATGGGGAAGAGGAGAGAGGGGAGGGAGTGAGGAGAGTGAGAGAGAACGGGGAAGAGGAGAGAGGGGAGGGAGTGAGGAGAATGAGAGAACGGGGAAGAGGAGAGAGGGGAGGGAGTGAGGAGAGTGAGAGAGAACGGGGAAGAGGAGAGAGGGGAGTGAGGAGAATGAGAGAGAACGGGGAAGAGGAGAGAGGGGAGGGAGTGAGGAGAGTGAGAAAGAACGGGGAAGAGGAGAGAGGGGAGTGGAGAATGAGAGAGAACGGGGAAGAAGAGAGAGGGGAGTGGAGAATGAGAGAGAACGGGGAAGAAGAGAGAGGGGAGGGAGTGAGGAGAATTGTTTCAAGGTGAGCAGGTCTATGTGAACCTACCCCAGAAAGTCCGAGGAAACTGAGAGGCTGAAGAAAGAGGCTGACACATTCAGTTTCTTAGAAAGACATATTGAATAGGAACTTACAAACAGAAGCCATGTCTGTGTCTCAGGCTTTGGCAGGACAAGACAATGGATCCACACACCATTATCCCCCAGATCCAGGGCTTATACCATAGGAAAGGATGATCTGAAGGGATGTGCAGGGCAAGCAAAGCACAGTAACATCAAGGTTGTTCGACCTAAGGTCAGGATTTATAGTAAGTACCTGTTCTTACACAAGGAACAGTAGATAACCTGGAAATCTTAGAGGCATCTCGAAACTGGGGCTAATGAGAAGTCAATATGGCAGACCAGCATCCAAGATGGAGTTGCTCTGGCCTCCACAGGAATAAAACAAACATAACAAAATGTTCACACAGGGAATCTGTGTGAAGAGCATCCAGGAATTCTTTGTCCTGTTCCTGCAACTTGTCTATGACTCTGAAATGATGTCAAAGTAAACAAAAATTACATTGGACATACAGCAATATTATTCGTCAAAACCAATGGAACTATACAAGAAATCTGCAGATTGCACCATATATAAATAACACTTCAATTAAAATAATAAAACCTTATTTTAGATGTTTTCTCAAAGGTCGACGATTAGAACACTTCAATAATTAAAAACAGAGAAGAGAAACCCATTGAGGATGTCACAGAATGAAGACTAACTTCATGCATACTTTTAGTTTGAAACAATAAACTAGCACCACCGTTTCTGTGTCTGTGACCACAATTATCAGCAGCCCTCATGACTTCCTGCTGTACGGCCCCCGCTCCCCTCCCTCCACGCTTCCCCATGTGTCCACCCCACACCCCCTGTGCTCAGCTGGGTACCACAATCAGCTACACTGCACTCCCTTGCTAATCAACCTCCAAATACATAAGCCCATTAACAACAAACCTAGATATTGCCTTTTTTTAATTAAAAAAAAAAAAAGCCAAAAATGACGGTCACAATCCCTCATGAGGACACAGACTATTCAGTGAGAATCCTTGAGGGAGGCCCTCTGCAGATGCCAGGGCCTAGAATAGGGGCTCACCCAGCACCTGGCTTAGAACCCAGGTTAATCTTTCAAAGTACTTTAGGATTTGTTAAAGATTATTATTAATGTCATAGTCAGCTATTTTTAAAAAATACTAGTAAAACAAAATGGCTTTCACATCTCATACCTTGCTTTAGAAATATGATAAATTCCTTTACAGTTTGGTCCAAATTCACTCCATGATACACTATAGGTTTGAAATTGCGATGCTCAAAGGAACGGATGAGGCGAACTGTGATGGTCACTTCTTCAGAAGCCATGTGAGGAAATTCCTGTGGCGAGAGACACGAGAACTGTCTGAATGAAGCCAGCTCACAGCTGTCTACCAGCACCTAGCCTGCATCTCTATCATCAGCTCTCTGGCACCAGCCCCCTCTTCCACGCTGCATGATGACTGACAGAGTTCCCAAACAGAAGCCAGGTTCCAGAGTCCCCAGAAGGGTCGAGTGATTATGCCCACCTATCCACTGCAATCCTGGACGGCTCTGTCACAGACACAGATGTTCTGACCAGCAGAAAACTGACAGGGTACAGAAGATGAACCAAAGTAACACAGGGGCGTGTGTATGTGTGGAAGCAGAGAAGCAGAATGGCCAAACCCAAACACATGGCAAACACACGTCTATTGTGGGTACCCTATGTCAGTGGGCCCCTCAGTTGGCCCTGAGATGGAAGCACATTTATATTAGAATCAACTATCAACAGACAGCATTTCAATCTCATAAATGCTGCCAGATTTCAGGGCTGATTTAATTATATATGATGGTGTACCCGTCTTTCACATTACTAAAGCTCAGTATGTATATTTCATCCTAAAACTAAGTACTAGGCACATGTGCCAGGTCTTAATGTTATCTCATTTAATTCATTCAATTCTCTCACCAAATCATGAAGCATTTTGCCTCATGCTTTAGTGAGAGAATTAAGTGAGACAATATTTTAAAGATGAGAAGATTGACTTGGAGAGATTGCATCAACTGCCCCAAATCATAAAGCTGGCAAATAATGGAGTCAGGATTCAAGCATCAATTTAATTCCAAAGTCCATGCTTTCTAATACATGCACACACACACACACACACACACACACACAAATTGGAAAACCACCCCAAATTATTTCCTCCAAAAAATTTCTGCACAGTTGCCAATGTTTTTTTCCATGCTTAAAAAATATTTTTGTTTTGAAATATCTTAAGCAAACAGTTAAAAAAAAAAGAACCTGCTACACTATCCTGTCAAATCTTAACATTCTGATGCAACTGCATCAACTTTTAGGAAGAAAACACATCAGAAGTCCCGTGTACCCTCCCCAATTCCACCAGCATTTCCTGCCCTGGGACGACACAGCAGTGACTCACACACACCATTCCAATACATAATTTTACACTCTAATTCGTATCATTTGAATCTACAGAAAATAGACTATTATGTGCAGCAATAACAACACTTTCTATATATATTTTTTAACTTTATTTTGTTTTGTTTGAGACAGGGTCTCACTCTGTCACCCAGGCTGGTCTCCAACTCCTGAGCTCAAGTGATCCTCCTGCCTTAGCCTCTGAAAGTGCTGGGATTATAGGTGTGAGCTACCATGCCCAGCAACACTTTCTGTTATATATCAACAATGCTTACATGCCAGATACTATTCTAAGTGCTTAGCACTCATTCTATCATCGACTGCCCACTCACCTCCAATCACCCTGTGAGGTTGGTAAGATCATCTCATACAGAAAAGGTGAAACACAAATAGGCTGAAGTACCGTGCCCACAGATACACAGTATGGTTAACTTTAATACATGGTGTATTATATGTAGCTTCCACAAGCCTTTCAGCATCACTTTTCATTTATCTGTGTTGAAAGATGTAACTCTAACTCTCACATTCACTTTCTGAAGTATCAAAAACCCATTTGTTTTAAAGATACAAGCAGGGCGTAGTTCTATCTAGTAATACCTACTTTGTGCTACTTACAACTTTGCATGTAACTTTAAACCATAATATACAGTAAGAGTAAGTATTAGAAAAAAAAATACCTGTAATACTGATAAATGTAAGGAAAGCTATAGGACCTCACTAGTAGTCAGGGAAATTCAAAATAACAATGAGACATATCACTCGTCTAACTGATAAATTACAAAGTCTAACAATACCTCCTACTGGCAAGGGTAGAGAACAATGAAAACCTCATCAGTGACAGCAGGCACTTAAAGGAGCAGTACTTTTGGAGACAATTAGGCAATCTTTAGTAAAACTGAAGATACACATACCTTTTGATCCTACAATTTCATTCATACATAGGTACCCTAAGGAATCTCACAAGGAGGAACCATAAAATATTAATAGCAGTGTCATTTTTTAACTGCAAAAACTGGAAACAACTGTCCATCAACAGTAGAACAGATAAGAAAAGGATGGGATACTCATACAATGAAATATGACAAGCAATCGAAATGAATGGATTAGAACTACAAGCATCAACATGGATAAATCTCAAAAATACTACCATGAGTGGAAAAAAGCAAGTTGCAGAAGAATCAGAGCATCCCGTACTATCATTTATACAAAGTTCATAAACATAGTCTTTATTTTGTTTCATACGAGACAATTAGTCAGGCACGGTGGCTCACCCCTGTAATACCTGCACTTTGGGAGGCTGAGGCGGAAGGATCGTTTGAAGTCAGGAGTTCGAGACCATCCTGGCCAACATGTTGAAACCCAGCCTCTAATAAAAATAAAAAAACTAGCCAGGCATGGTGGCGGGTGCCTGAAATCCCAGCTATTCAGGAGGCTGAGGCAGGCAGGAGAATCTCTTGAACCCGGGAGACGGAGGCTGCCGTGATCGGAGATCGTGCCACTGCACTCCAGCCTGGGTGCCAAAGCAAGACTCGGTCTCAGAAAAAAAAAAAAGAAAGAAAAAAAGAAAAAAGAAAGGAGACAATCACCGGAGGTGTAGGAAGAATTATGTACTTGGGAAGTAATAAATTGGGGCTTCAATTATATTAGTAACATTTTATATCTTAAGCAGATGTTAGGTATATGGCTTTTTGTTTGTTTGTTTTGAGACAGAGTCTCACTCTGTCGCCAGGCTGGAGTGTGGTGGCACCATCTTGGCTCATCACAACCTCCCTCTCTGGGGTTCAAGCAACTCTCCTGCCTCAGCCTCGTGAGCAGCTGGGACTACAGGAGGGACTACAGCCACCACGCCTGGCTAATTTTTGTATTTTTAGTGGAGATGGGGTTTCACCATGTTGGCCAGGCTGGTCTCGAACTCCTGACCTCGGGTGATCCGCCTGGCTCGGCCTCCCAAAGTATATCATTCTTTATGCCTTTTACTACGTCTGGGATATTTTATAACACACACAAGCAAGTCACATGAATTTGGCCTGGAAAGTCTCTCTGAATCTTATGAGCATGTTTTGTGGTTAATTAGTTTAACAAATCTTTTCACAATTTCAATATTAGTTACTTCACTATTTCTTATTAAATCTGGCTTACAATGCTTCTCTGAAAATCTGATCCCAGAATCTATCACATAACAGCAGTTCAGCAAACATCTACAAAATTAAAATTTTAAATATACTGAAGTACTCAATAAGGAATAGCTCCTGAGAAAGAGACATATAGAAGACTCTTGTATTTCAGAAGCAGTGTTGACAGGTTTGCTAAAGCTATGACCACGTCTCCCTCTTCTCACCCCCCAAAACAACAAAAAAGCCCTCCCAAACACACATATATGCCCACACCTACACACACACACACACACACACACACACAGGGAAGCCCTATAAGGCAGCCCAGTGTCCCTAAGAGCCTAGAGTTGGACAGATTTAACTATTTAACTTAAAGATCAACTCTGCTTCTTAGCTGTGTTATAAAATAAGAAATCCTTGAAAAGCTGTTCCATGTTAGCCAGGCGTAGTCCCAGCTACTCGGGAGGCTGAGGCAGGGAGGTGGAGGTTGCAGTGAGCTGAGATTGCACCACTGCACTCCAGCCTGGGCATCAGAGTGACACTCCGTCTCAAAAAACAAACAAACAAAAAAACAAGTTGTTCCATTAATTTAAGAAATTAACATACATTAAACACAATTCCTCACACATCGGAGGATCTCAGTAAGTAGTAGCTGCTTTTATCATCATTATTCTATTTAGACTAAAATAGGTTTGGGTATAAAGACAGCTAAGCAGCAGATAAATATAAATTCCCAGATGTAATGAAGCGAAGGCTGGGCAGGCTGGCACTTGCATTCCTCATGAAACTGTTTTTCACAATTACAGGTTTGTTATTTTCACTTAATAAAAAGCTGCCCATATGCTGTACTTAAATAGTTGAACTTTTCCATTTAAAACCCCAAAATCTGAGTTATATCTAATTTTGGGCAACTATTGTCATTTTTCTAAAAAATGTGCTTCAATTTATACTCAGTAACAAAACAATATCAGAAGGACCATTATCTAATTTGCCTTAAGGACAGTGGGACACAGGCTTGTCTGCCTAGAGAGGATGACATACTGAAGAGGCAGCTTAGAAGACTAATCTTACAGATAATAAAATCTGACATTTTTCCCAGAAGGTTTGGCCTAGTTTTTTTTAAAAAAAGTGAATGTGATCAATTTTAAAAAGCATTCCTCAAATGAAAAGGCAGAGAAGCCAATAAAAATAAACTTTGGGATAAATTAACAAAAAATATTCAAGGACATAAAAGATTTAAATAAATGAAATGATAGACAATGTCCTTAACTACAAAGGTTCAAAGTAGTAAAGAAATCAAGTCTCCCTAAATTGACCTATGCATTGAATAAAATCCCAATCAAAATAAAAAAGGGCTGTTTGGGAATCTTGACACAAATAATTCTAAAATCCATCTAGAAGAATCTGTGACCTTTGTCAGCAAAGTCATAAAACAACAAAAAAGAAAAGAGACCAGTGACACCAATTATTAAAACACATTATAAAGCAACCGTTATACAGGAAAAAGCTTGTTTGATTTTCATAATTTTACAAAATCCAATAACAACTATTTTAAATGCAAAATCAAGCCATAGTAATATAAACTTTGATACTGGAACAGGAATAGATGGACAAATCTGTGAAATCTAACAGATAACTCAGACTTAAGATTATAGAAAATTTAATATAAGATGAAAGTGGCATCTCAAATTAGTGAGGAAAAGATAGTTTCCTCAATAAATGGCATTGAGAAAACTAATAATGGATTTGGGGAAAAGTAATAATGGATTCTTATCTCACTCCTTATACAAAACAACCTCTCCATGAAACAAATATTTAACTATAAAATCATAAAGAGGCACCAGAAGAAAATAGGTACAGATTTTTATAATCTTAAGATAGTAAAAGCTCTAAGCAAAGACAAAGCAGCAGTCATCAAGGAAAAGACTTAATAGTTTAACAACATAAAAATGTAAAAAGAGACCAATATCGTAATATAAACAAGGATAAAGGTAATTAACAGGCAACTGGCTAAACTTAAGCCAATAATGTGAAAAGATCAGCTTTACTTCCAACTAAAGAACTGAAAGAGAAACAGATATCAATTCTGCCATAAGACTGGTATAATAAGAAAAATTAAAAACTGGCCAACCAGTGTTGGCAAGGATATGGAGAAACAAATATTTTTTATAAACTACTGGCAAGAATATAAAATGAAACAGCCTATCTGGAGGTGAGTAGGTAATCTGTATCAAAATTTTAAATTTGTCTACCCTTTGATATGGCAATTTCTTTTCTAATAATTCACCCTGAGAAGATAATCATATCAATTATTTTATAAACCCATGAGTTCATAATGACACTTTTAAAAAGTTAGTCATTCTGGAGGCTAACAGGGCACTAATTTGTTTTTCTGAAAAGTGGCTTTCCAAGTGAGGGTTGGTGGAAATAAGAAATCAAACATTTTACCCTTCCTTTCTTGTACAGACAATATTTCAGTGTTACCAAATAGTTGATGAAAAAAAGTTTCTTCTTTATAGAAGAATTACAGCTAAAAAGTACTAAAAGAATAAAATTTTTAAAATCCCAATTTACATACCTTATCAGGATGGCTAAAATAAAACACAGCAAGAGCCCCAAATGTTGGTGAGGGTGGAGAAATTCATATACATTGCTGGTAGGAATGTAAAATGGTACTAGCCAGCCTGAAAAAGAATATGGCAATTTCTCACAAAACTAGGCATACCTATTATATAACACAGTAATTGCATTCTTGGGCATTTATGCCAGAGAAACAAAAATTTACATTGACACAAAAACCTGTACATGAATGTGCACAGCATATCCATGTGTAATACCACAAAACTGGGAAACAAATCAAATGCCCTTTAACATATGAATGATCAGACAAACTGCAGTATATCCATATCATGAAATACTAGTCAGTAATAAAAATAAATTATTGATACAGGCAACAATCAGGGTGAATCTCAAGGGAATCAAACTGAATGAAAAAAGGCAGTCTCAAAAGGTTGC